AGGTATATTCCTATTATATACCTACTATATTCTTGGGGTTCCCCATTTGGGGTTCCCAGTAGAGTCCCTTTATTCCCTACCCTAAATCCTAAACCCTCAACCCTTAAACCTGATTAAACATACTCCGCTAAACCAATCCTAAACCCTAAGCCCGAAATCCTAAACCTTACGCACTAAACCCTGAATCCAAAACCCTAAATCCAAAACCTTAAACCTTAAATCCTAAACCCTAAATCCAAAACCCTAAACCCTAAATCCTAAACCCTAAACCCTCAGATCATGCTCTGGCATTCTGGACTGAGAGGTGGCATTGGGCTACCCGGCAAATGATCTACTTACTATTGGATTTAGGGTTTAAGGTTTAGGGTGTTCAGGCTAGGTAAGCTAAGGTTAAAAGGATGACTCAGCTTCTAAGTCTTCATAGCCTCATGTGTGGCACTCATGACGCTACTTGTACCTACCCATGAACCTCCAAGTAAGCTCTAGGGCGTCTCTTCGAGGTATCTCAGGGCAGAGTTTTCGCAATCAGGGGGGCTGGCGTCGGCAAATTATGGTCCCGTCCTGGGGTACCATGAACTTTTGGGACAGTATGGGTTATCGTCTCAACTCCTTAAAGGGGTTATATAGGGGAGTATGTTACAGGGGTTATTAAGGGGTGTGCTAGGAGTTTAGACTATAGCTCATATCATAGCAAGGGATCCTCCCCCTCCCCTTACATAGACTCTCTGAAGTTTCTTCCGCATTTGCAGGTGTACAAATTCAGGCTGAGGGGCTCAGGAGGCTTGCAGGATTCTTGCGGTTCGTAGGAAGGTTTTGTGGACGCTTCAGGTGGGCTATGAAGATATGAGCCTCAATCTCTCGACCTTTTGAGCTACAGCGCAGCATATTCCTTTTCAGTAGCATGGCAGGTTTGAACACTGAGACTGAGACCTTAATTCCCTTTAGAGGAGGACCACACATACTGCACCATCCCCTGCGTGTGCGTGGGGTTGCATGCTTGTTTGGAGTAGGATACGGGTAAGGGTCTAAGGGTCTAAGGGTCTAGGGGTCTAGGGCTAGGTTTCTGTTCAAGGGCTCCTTTCGGCAAGATATTGCAGTTTCTGGAAACTGGAGTCGCCAGGCTTTTCCGACTCCTGGGAACATGTTTTGGGATCGTACTTAGTCAGTATCATCCGCATGTCCATATTTGAGGTCAGTTGTGGGATGGATCATCTTTGTTCACCGTCCATGCGACGCTTGAACAATGGCGGTCTTGTTTCGGCGTTCGGTTGACTGTGTCATGTTTCGTTGGCAAGCACGTCAATTTCCCAAGAGGTGTAGTTGGCATTTGCAAGCCCAGATGTACCCGCACCTAAACTGACACTGCCCATACTGAGAGCTCCGTTTCAAGGACTCTCGTTTTTTTGGCGGCCCCTTTTGGTATTCGGGGCAGGTTGCGCCATACCCTCCTTACTCTAGAGGCTCGGACAATTGGCGCCGTTCAATCCTCATACAGCTGTAGCATAACAGACCCGAAAACTGTATCCAGTTCAAGTCAAATAGGCAGCCACATTACTCTATAAGCCAAACCCTAAGCCCTCAACATTCAAGAGGGATTGTACAACTTCACTGCTTGGGATCTGAGAGTTGGACAGAAGGCCAAAGCACCAAGTCTAGCTCGTTCAGGCATCTTTGTTTGCGACGTGTGAAGTTTACACGTTTCCGGGTCTAGGGTTTAGAGTTCAGGGATTGTGGTTCAGGGTGTAGGTCCTCTCGTCTCATCTAATGCTGTAATGTAGTCCGTGTCTTCTATTCCTTCATTCTATACAACCCTCAACCCTTAAACCCTAAACCCTAAACCAGCCCCCCGCCGGCAAAAATCAGGTTAGTGCTTGCTTTGGAACTTGGTGAGTAGCCGTGGCTGCAAGACCGGTATGAAGGGGAGAATGCCTTTGCATCCATGTGGGCTGTAATTGGAGTTATAGGATTATAGTCTAGGGTTTAAACTCCTTAAGGGGGGTATTACAGGCAATTATATAGGGGAGTTTTATAGCGGTTATTGAGGGGGAGACTAGGATTTCAGGCTATACCTCATGTTGTGGTTTCAAAGAATTTGGGGTCCTTTTTCGGGAGTCCCGAAACTAAGGAGTACAGCGTGTTGGGGTCCATTTTGGTGTCCCCTGTTTATGGAGGCCCCCATGCATGTAAGTTCCGGCATTCTAGCATTTGAATCCGATTGACGTATCTAAAGTTACGGAGAGCTTGACCAGCTATGGCAGGCATATTGAGGAAGCCCTGAGGGGACCTCATGTATGGGGGCCCCATATTTGGAGAGTGTATGGGCCCTCAGGGAGGCTGCAACTTTAAACTCTTAAACTCTGAATCTTAAGTCTTGGGGAGTCTTTGATTATGGTTCCCCCTTGTTCCCCCTTATATGGGGCCTTCTGAAAGATTCCTTATGTATAGTAATGGGCCTTGCATGAAACCAATTCAAGGTTTTGGGTTCGGGGTTCAGGGTCCAGGTTTTGGGATTTAGAGTTTAGGGTTTGGGATTAAGGATCTAGGGTTTAGATTTGGGTCTTAGGGCTGACGGTTTCAGTTTCGGGTTTAGGGTGTAGGATTTAGGCGACCACGGGGGGAGCTACCACATGCTCGGATACCGGAACTATGCTCGTACTACCAATCAACATATCAGGAACACAACCCTAAACCCTAAGCGACTATACCTTTCCAAGTGCACCGCAACAGGCAAGTTCAGGCGGAGATTAACAGGATTGGCAGTACAGGTGCATACACCTGAAAGCTGGGTTTACGGTTTAGGGTAACTTAGTCCTATACTTGAGTTGAAACAATATTTGGTTGGGGCAATATCAGATGGCTTTGGGGTTTAGGAAAATGAGCAGGGATCAAAACCCTCCTCATTTAGAAAAGACAGGGGCTTTCAAACGCAAGGTTTGGCGTCAGCAAAGTGTTGTGTTGCGTGAGGCGTCGTAAGCAATTCTGTGGCA